TGTGTGTGTGTGTGTGTATATACATAACTTTTGAAATCATGAGCCAGCACCCCTCCTGGCCTTGAAAACAGCACAGGATAAATCCACTCAGTATCCACTAAAATAACCTGTGAGTTTTCACTCCTGACGTTTCTTTTGTTGCGTGAAAAATAGTTTTGTTATTGCACATGTCTGTTTGGCTGCTTCCTGTCACTCTCAGCTCTTTGAAATAATCCCATCCCGAACTTCTTAACTGGGTCAGTCACAGCGGCAGCGCTGTTTCTCCTGACTGTAATAGCCACGTCGGCCACACGGTGGCGCCATCAGGGCTGCACATGAAGCTCTTTTTTAAATAAACAAAACAAAGCGATCAGGAGTAACTTCTGGTTCGTTTTGGTTTGTGAAGCTTCTCCCTCAGGATGCCGAGCTGAACGCAGCGGTCTATTTGTTCTCCATCACTAACTGCTTCCTCTCCTCTGGTTGCTAGGCAACACCTACATGACCTGTTGTCAAACATCATTGTTCGGCTGTTTTCTTGCTTTTGTCTCAACCAGCAGTTGTTGCCGTGAATTATGTCGCTGTGTAAAGACAGATGGCCAGACTTTTATATATATTTTATATAGAGAGAGATAGCTGTCTCTCTCTCTCTCTCTCTCTCTCTCTCTCTATATATATATATATATATATACATACAAACACACTATTTTTCTTCATTGGTTTAATCGTGGAGAATTAACACTACTTCCTGTATTTTTTAGTCAGTCTGTTTTACTGCCTGACAGGAAGAAATCTGTGTTCTACTATTTTCAATAGGGTTAAGTTACGACAGCCAATGACGACCTTTGAAAACAAAAATGCAGTAAAAGAAACAATCTAGGCAAACAACTCAGAAGGGTCGAAATTAAAGATTAAACTCATGAAATAAACATGAGAAAAGCTGTATTTTATTGGGTCAAGAACCAACTCATTTTACCTTTTCTCATAAATGTACCAGTTTTCAACAGTTTTCTTTTCTAAAGCTTAACTTTGTGCTCACATTCAAATTACATATGTCTTATCTAAACCTGGTAAAAGTCACATCAGTTCATATCTCATTTAATTCTGTTCTCTAAGGGAAATTATGCCTTTTTAAAGTACAAGGTATATGTATTAGTAAATATCTCTGCAACAGAATGGTGACCTCTACAGATGTAAACCACCTATCCCCCCACAACACTGGGATGGGCTCAGTGGATGGATGGTTAGATAAATAGGGTTTTCCTTGGTTCAGATATCAAATGGAAACATTTTAAGTCAGAGCCTGCCAGGCAGCTCATTGGGTTATCTCTGTGGAGTTTTAGATTATGATGTTGTGAAATGTGAACTTGTGTTCCTATTTGTCTGAAGAAACTTCATATTTCTGCAATTGCATTTAGAGTAAAAATCAGGTGTCCATATAGAGAAAAGTTCAGAGAGAAAGTTCCTAATAATAAGCTGCAGATCTGCAGGGCCCATCTTCTGTGTGAGAGCTTATGTAGCTCAGAAAGTCTCCAGTTAGCAAACTGACCTGAAATATTTGGTCGTGAATCCCATCCTAACCCTTTCAAAATTACACCTACACAGTTTTGTTTTGAGAAAAGTTCTCATATCACACAGCAAGAAAAGGTCACATTTAGATGCGGAGAGTTCAGATTAAAAAGACACGGAGAAAAAAGGCAACTTATAACTGCAGGATGTTTTTTCTGCATTTACATTCAAAATATACTAATAATACATACTAAATAATAACACTGATTACATACTTTTTGCATACTTAACTGAAATGAATAAATTGTATTACAATAAATTGCAAAAAGTAATATGTAAAAGCAATTCTATATTTAATTAAATTTACTTTTTTTAATTAAGCTCATTATTTTGTGTATGTGTATGTGTATGTATTTGTTTGTCATGTCAAATGTATTATTAATAATAACTATATATTTCTACTATTATTATTATTAGTGGTATTAGTTGTAGTAGTAGTAGTAGTAGTAATAGTATACAAACAAAAGATTTTTTCTAATAAATAAAATATTTATTATAAAGTTTGGATTTTAAAATAAACACGGAATAAAAACAAAGGTCTGGTTGACGTCCTGCCGTAAACGTGCCGTGGCAGCCGTCCCGGACGTGACGTCATGTTGTGTTGATGTTGTGACCGGACGCGCTGTGGACGGAAGAGGGAGACGCGTTTTGTTTTTATTCAACTAAACCGTTGAAAAGGAGCCGAAACGTCGCTTTTGTGTCCATTTCGGGTCGATAAGAGCCTTAGCTCGGTGATTGGTGCCAAACGGCCGGGCCGGAGGGCGAGTAGACCGTCTTATTTGATCTAGAAAGGGAGGACTTGTCACCCTCTGACCCCCTCCCTGCTTCCTCCACACTCTCCACCATGACTATTCTCCCGAAGAAGAAGCCTAGCTCCGGGGTCGGCGTCTCGGACCACGCAGATGACAGCGATCGTCGGACCGGCTCCGACCCTCACCAACACCCTCACCCGCACTCAGGGCGAACTGGAACCCGACCGAGGGCTTCCCCTCCGCCTTGGTCCTACCAGCCCGCTCCACCCTCCGCCAGGGACGACAGGCGGAGCATTGAGGCGAGCTCCCGGCCGCAGCAGGCCTCTCCGCCGCCCGTCGGCTCCGTGTCCCCTGTGGGGCCGGGCGATGGTCGGGACAACAGCGGCGGAATGGTTGCCGGGTCCCGCGGAGAGCTCGTCGTGTCGTCCGGCGTCGTCGGATGCGGCGGAGGCATCGGCAGCTGCTGCTCCGGGCCCGGGCTGAGCAAGAGGCGGAGGCAGGCAGGCACCTGCTCCGGTGGGGTGGTGGGGGCGCTGGCCGGCGGAGGCCAGCCCGGGGTGACCGGACCGGGAGGTGTAGGGTCCAGCCAGGACACGGAGGAAGGAGCCGGAAACAACAGCGAGGACGAGTACGAGAACGCCGCCCGGCTTCAGTCCATGGACCCGGCTACTGTGGAGCAGGTAGGACGCTAACGCTAGCTAACATTAGCAACAAGGCTAACGGAGCTGCTAGTGCTCCTGCACAGGTGATTTCCGGCACTTTTACCAGAACTCAGGTACTTAAAGACCGAAAACAAAACGTATAAAATCAGCACAGGCCACTAGGAAGCAGAAAATAAGGATTTAAGTTAACTTTAAGAGGGAAGAAATTGCTGTTATTGTTCAGTTTTACGCTTAAGACCAATGAGTCGTTTCCCCCCAGAGGCAGGCTGTTGTGACAATTGGTGGTGGTGGTGGGGCGTTCATTAAGTAACCTGCTAATCATGTCTGCTCACCTGAGGTCTTAAGAGAAACCCGTTCGGGGCAACCATAGCAACAGCACGGACGTTTGATCACCTGGCAGTTAAACATTTACCCCCAAACTAACCACAAACACACTCTAGGCACACATTTAAACACTGTTAAAGAGAGCTGCATTTGTCTCCACGGCCCATCCAGGTGAGGCTAAAATAAACAGCCAGATGTTCCCAGATCGGAAGGATAATAACTGCTACATACATGTTTTAGAATCGTAATATTACGCATATGAAAGATAAACTAAGAATTAAAATATTTTCATGCCACTATTTCCAGGACGCATTTTTGTCAGCGCTCTGTTGAATATAATAACACCAAACGCTTATTTTACCTATTGATTCATTTCAATTAAATTTTTTTCTTTGTTCAGAAGTCGCCCATGTTCAGGGTTTGTTTTTTCTTGGAGAATGTGATGAAGCACAAAGGCAAAGCATTTGTTCCAATGAGGTTTTGCACAACTCTTTACCGAGATTCTTGACTGCATGCTAGAAATTCTAAAAACGTTTGTTGGACACCTGGGCCTGTACTATGAAAAAAGTTCAGCTTACGCAGGATATCCTCTCTGTATGTTCTGTAACCTTAACATGGATATTATCAATATACACAAAAAAAAACAAGAACAACAAAAAGTCAGAAGCACAGGCAGGTCTGCAGACAGCTGAACACCTGATTTTTACAAAGAAGAGAAAACTGTGAACAATATGGTTAAACGGATAATACAGACTGGGAGTAACACAGCTGCTGCAGACAAAGCAGCAGATTGTTAGTATGAATGTGTGCGCACTTTGGTGCTTTTGTCAATAAGACTGGAAAAGACCTGCTATGGTAATAAAGTTAAAGTCTATTTGAAGCCAGAGAAGAAAGCCGACTGTGTAACTAAACAGACTTCTCACAGCTCTGTCATTAAGACACGAGCGAATTTGACTGATTAGAATTTTTGTTCAGTTAAATCACTGTTTATATGTGTGTAAGAAAGTGTTATTCTTTCAGCTGCTGGTGGTGTTCAACAGTCTGAGAGTGAGTAAAGAATAAATGTAAAAGTCCTGAGGTGGTTCATCCACTGACTCGGTCTCCATGCAGACTTGATAAAAGGTCTACAAGTACAAATAGGTTCTTTGTTTTAGGATTATACTTACACTCATAGAACAGTTAATTAAAAAAAAAATCTGTAGTCAACCAGAGGCAAAAATCAAGGAATTATGCTGCGTCTTAAGAATCTGTATTTATTCCTGATGCTCATCAGGAAAACAAAGACTTCAAACACTCTTTCTGCAGTGCAGTGAGGTCAGCAGGATCTTCCAGGAATGGTGACGCTGTTTCCTGGAGAACTGATTAGTCACTAGGCGATGATTTCATACCTCTTGCTCTCTTATCGTGAACATGGAGCAGGTTAGGTCTGCAGCTTAGTTGCCATGGCAACGGTAAACCTAAGCTTAAGATGTTAACTGCCTTTTTAACACTGAAAAGACGGGATTAAACCAGAAGTTTTACTTTACTCAGTGTCGGGGATCCACAGAATGACAAACTGAGCCTGAACCGAAGCACTCTGCAGGGAGGCTTTTAATTTGAATCTCAAGCAGAATAGATGTTTGATATTTACGGATCAATAACGCGACTATATCAAGCAGAAATGAACTTTGAAGTGCTACTCAGTTTGATGTTGGAGGTGTTTCTGACTCAGTAAAAAGGACTAGATGTTACAGTCCCTGGTAATGCATTGCTTTAAATGGAGAAAATCTAAGTTATATCTGGTCTTTAGTATTTTCTGGTGCAGGTTAAATAATTTTGTCTTTTGCTTTGATTTTGTATATGAAACTGTTGTTTTTTCCTTGTATTTTAAGTCGAGTCTTTACAGCAGTTTGTTTTTTGCCCCTCATTAAATCCTCAAACTCGCTTTTTAGTTCAGATTGAGCCAGATAAAAAATCTATTTGGAGGGAGTGATAAGGAACAGCCTATTATAAAATCATCCACATCTATTTTGTTTGCTTGTTATTTGTTTATGTTTGTTTTGGTGCAATAACTTTGTATATTTAATGAAACCTTGCAAAATGTTACCTTCAAGATATGATAACAAGTTAGTGGCCTTCCAAGTACAGGGCACAAGTCAATTCACCTCATTTTGTTAGCATTTTGTAGTCATTATACTTCATAACAGGAAATGCTGAAAAACACTTTAAAGTTTCATTTAAAAAAAAAACTGCAGCCAAATCAGTTTTGTTTCACAGTCTGCAGACAGAATGTCCTTTAATTTAGAAATGTAGATAGATTTTTCTGTAACCAGCTCTGAGCGTCAGCATCATGGGAAATGTCATCGTTTCAGTAGAAAAACGGCACCAATTTCAAGTCAGTTTTTCACCAGAGAAAAACCTCAAGGGTCATATATCACAGTGGGACATGGATGGCTGCTTATAACAAATCATAGCACATGAAAGGTCTTTCTGTGACCTACATTTGCCAAACTCATTTTCCCAATATAGAAAAGTTACTGTACCAAAGAATTTGCTGATTACGAGGATGTCAGGTTGAATTAGGGATGGGAGTCGGTAACCAGTTGCTTAGAGAACCAGTTCCCAGTTGTCCAGTTCCTTGGGGCTGTTAGTCTGGTTGTCTGTCGATCACACTTATCGGTTCGTGCACTTGTGCTACGATCAGTTTGTCTGTCGGAGGAGGAAAATAGTGGTGCAGGATATGGTCATTAGTTTTATTTTTACTGCACAAAGAGAGAGTGCAGTGGTAAAGTGTAAACTGCAACGCTAACTAGCCAAGAACCCAGAGTGACTTAAAGCTGAGTGAACACTGACCCCAGCCCAGCAGACACACCCTGAACTTCAACAGGTAACAAACTGATGAGCAGTTTGCAGCTTCCGTTTGTACCTGTTCATGTCTCTACAGTAGATTCACCGTGGCGATCGCTTTAAAGTCTGTTTGTGCTGGGTTTCATCTTTGCTGTTGGCTTTGTTTTCTGCTATAAGAGGCTTTGTCTAATACTAAGAGACAGATTATACGTGTGTCCTTAATAGGATTTGTGTTAGTGTGTAGGTCTGCAGTTTCAACTGTTAAATGAGAAATTACCTCAGGCGGTGTGTTTTAGGTCATTTTACACAGTGACATGAAAGTAATGTAAGAACTATATAATGAATTACTTTCTTCTGGGAGTAATTAAGTAATGTACTGCATTTTTACACGTTTAAGAAAAGTGTCCTGTGTAATGTGAGTAATAATTAGTTTTTGAGTGATGACCAAGGCTCTGATCATAACAAAGAGGGGAATTGCGTCCACACAGCATGCAAGTAATTTGTATGAATGTAATG